TTCTCTACTTACCGACATTCTTTTTCTTTCGTTGTTAAAATCTAAAATAGCTAGAATCTCATAGTGTTCCTGAAATAAATAGTAAAACATATTCAAACCCTGAGTACTTAACAACAAAACAATGGTTGTTATTTTGGCTGATATAGCAAAAACGACTAAAGTTAGATATTTTAGTTAGCAAAAACGATTAAAGTTAGATATTTTAGTTAGCAAAAACGATTAAAGTTAGATAAAAACAGTTGGCAGGGGCGGACACAGGAATCTTAGAAAGAGGGAGCCTGAAGGACGGAAAAATTCGGCATTAAAGAATCTCACCGCTGACTATGCAAAACGAAGCCATTGAAAGTTTGGGGGAAATAATGTTTCCGATAAATGCTTTTTTGAACCAAAAAAGAAAGGTAAAAAAAATCCCAAACTAAAATGGGAAGCTGAGGTCCCATTGCATTCTCAACCTAAATTTCACCCATGTTTGATCTTATTTTATTTCGATTTTTAATTTTAATTCTTGTCAAATGAGCGTTTATCCAGAATAAACTAAACACTTATAACGTTCTATAGCACTAGTGAACAAACCTCAGTGCCCAAGACATCGAGTGTTATCGTTGTTGGTGATCGTTCCTGATAAAACGAGATGATAAAAGACTTTGTAACATCATTATTGAAACAGCATAGAACATACTAGAAAAGCATGCACACAGGCATAGACAAACAGACAGAAATAGACTGACAGACACAGACAAACAAACAGGCAGACAGACAGACAGACAGACACAAAGGTATAGACAAGCAGACAGAAATAGACTGACAGACACAGACAAACCAACAGGCAGACAGACAGACAGACACAAAGGTATTGACAAGCAGACAAAAATAGACAGACAGACACTACAGACAGACACAGACAAACTGAGACAAACAAAGACTGAAATTTACAAATAGGCAGATAGACAAACACTCAGACATGGACAGACAGACAGACAAACAAACTGACTGACTGACACACAGGTATTCATAATTGCCCTCAGAATGACTTAAAGACTGAGACAGTTCACACAAAGCAGACAACCAGATAGAGCAAAGAAAAAGAACAGAGGACAGACAGACCGACACTATTGATATGATGAAATATCCATCGACTAGATATACTCACTTTGAATACAAAACCAAAGTTTCTTGCGGCAGTAACCAGAGCAGCTTCATCTGGGGACTGGGCCTGATACTGTAATTCACCTGACACAATTAATTTATTCATTAATTTATTAATCAAAATGTGTTAAAAGTAAATGTCATCTTACTATCAATCACGTGACTTTTTGGAGTTGACTGGGGGCAAACAAGCGGTTGACTGAGGGGCAACTAGCGGATGTTAAGTCAAAACATGTAAAAATAAGTCCTCAAACTATTGTATTTGACTATTTTCACGACATCAAACCAGATTAAAAACGCAGTTATGACCGGAAGTGACGTCTATTGATAGCAACAAATAAGGCAACTGCTTTCAGTTACGTACACGGATAACGTGAAGATTTTTTAAACCAAGTCTTAGCTCTAACATTATAATTGCACACATTTGAGTCCCAAGCATTGTGTTTTGGTGCCAATCAATATTCTGGAAGCCCTTATGAACTGAAGGGAACTAAGTCATAGGACGCATTAAAATTGTGAAAAGGTTATTTTTAGAATCTTTGATGSTATTTTTAGAATCTGATGCTATTCTTAGAATCTTTGATGCTATCTTTAGACTCATTTATTTGACCGTTAGTTTTCTGCATGCACATAATGTGCGCGCTCTGGGCTGTTTGCTCATGTTTTGTTGTGTTATTCAAGTAAACATGAGCGAATAGCGTAGAGCGCGCACAGTATGAGTGTGCAGAAAAACAAGCGATTGCATAAAAGCCATATGTGTACTTACCATCATTGTTCTGTACCATGACAGTGTGGCATACAGCAAGTAACCGCATTATCTCATGGCACCCCTGCATGTAGGCAAAATAAATACCCAAAAATAAACCGTGTTTATATTTTAACCAACTTGTAACAAATTATGTCAAAAAGGCAGCCTAAGATGAGCGCATTTGATGATAATCCTTTCTATCCCTCCAACTCCGTCCTCCCCATTTTTAGGGAATCTTAGTGTTCTTTCAGGGTTTGATATGTGAGCTAGCAGATCCAGTCCCATCAAAAAATAAAGTCTTGAAGATAATTGGTACCTTGTTATTGTTGGTGATGTCATCCAACAACATTTGGTCGTTGAACTGGAATTTACCATCGTAGTACTTGTTGCCTGATAAGTCCACTTTTGACCCCTGGAGATTCAACGATTAAATAAAAATGTTAGAAAAATCCTCTTCAAACCGCGACATACACCCGAAACAAACTGTACATTTACATGAAATGTGCACCAGTTTTGCTAAGTCTCCCCTCCCCCTTCCCAGTGAATTCCCCATCAGTGGTGACTTCCCCATTCCAGTGACTACCCCACCCAGTGACTTCCCCACCCAGTGACTTCCCCAACCCAGTAACTTACCCACCCAGTGACTTCCCCCACCCAGTGACTTCCCCCACCCAGTGACTTCCCCCACCCAGTGACTTCCCCATCAGCGGTCCCTGTTGTTGCAGTTCAGTTAACAAAGAAATAAAAAAAATTAAAAGACAGATTAAGCAAAGAAGAAAAAAGATGGATAGAAAATGACAAGGAACCCATGATGTCAAATAACGACGCACACTTTTATTACCTCTGAGTTTTGTGATGTGCTCTCACTCAGGACTGTCTTTTGYTCGTTTTCTTGTTCATCTCCCCGCCCTACATAAATGTTAGAATTCAATTTTTCAAAAGTTTAAAGTAAGTCTGGGTGACGCACTGTTTTTAGGCTGCGTAGCCACCAGCCTAATCTTCCCCGACCCTACAAGGAACGCCTTGCTAAAAAGGCTACACAGTTTGTGGAGCTGAAATTGATTCTCTTTTAATTGGGGACGAGACCGAACATCGCCATCTCACATCTCTTAATTCAGCCCAACAATTTTGTGTTTTAGCCAGAAATCGCTTTAACTGATTCTAGAGCAAAAACCAGCAGCGATGGAGCATTTCTTGAACGAATTCCTTCCATGGAACGGAAGGAAAAACAGTGAGTTTAATCAGTATTATTTATCCTCAGTTGTTATTTCTGCCAGAGATGTTTAACTCGACTAAACAGTTTAATAATTTAAAATAGATTTAATTTAGGCCTAATGTTTTCACATTTCAGACCACGTGTCATTCTCTTGAGAATAAGATTCTTTGTTTGAGTTGTATCCATATTCATGTGTCTTCTCATGCGCAACCCTTAAACAAAAAATGATACTCTAGGGAATAATGACACATGGTCTGAAATGGGAAAAACATTTCACCGGTTCAAAATGGTTTACAAACGGAAAATTAAGTTTTAGTAAACTTTCGATACAAGATCAATATTTTAAAAGTTTTTAAAAAAAGAAAATTCTACACAATTAATATTGCAGTTTCATATTATAAAAGTTTGGATTATTAGTTTTGATAATTCACAGGAAGTATTTACCATGCAATGGACAGTGAAAGAAGCAGCTATGGTAAGGACACGTGGTGCTGCTGCACGGCACGGTGAGTGGTGTAGAGACTTGTRGATCAGCTGTGGTTCTGGATTTCCCTGATACAGTGCAAGTGATACGGTATACATGGTGCACAAGRAGTGAAGAAAATAAAGCCATGCTTGTTTAGATAGTATTATAGGGAGGCATATTAATTTAACGCATACATTAATATACAATTTTATAGAATTTATTTTCACTTTAATTGTTTATTTTCATTGAATTTATCCATCCATACATTAATGCATCTTTCACTCAATCCGTCCGTCTATCTATCCATCCATGCATCCATGCATCCATGCATCCATGTGTGTATGCATGCATGCGTCCGTCCGTCCGTCCGTCCTTCCAAGGATACATACTTGCATGCATCCACCCTTCCTTCCTTTCTTCCTTTCATCCATCCACTCATTCCTGCCTTTGTTTTATCATTTTTTCATTTCTTTATTTATATTAATTACTTAACCAATTAATATCTTATAATGGTTTAATGAAATTCAAATTGTTCTTTACTGTGCTTATTTAGATTTTAGGGTTAAAATTATAGYCTTGCGTAATCACTCAGCCAAAACCTTCCAGACAGAAACAACCATACAGTCGTATACACCGGTGTATATGCAGATGTGTAAATAAGATACATCTTAATTCCTTACATACAGTAATTATATTAATACGATATTTTAAAAACGCATTTAGTATTAAGCAAAAAYTATGAATAGATCCTTGTTAATACTTTTTCAGTTATCTGTTAAAATTTATATTTTTATAATTTATGTTTATATTAAATTTACATTTATAATATTCAATTACTTATATATACATTTGATTACAAAAAGGTTGTAGTATACGTTTATACATATATCTAATGAGATGCAAGATATCAAACGAGATGCAGAAAGTAAAAAGCTTATTTGGTCTTATTTATTTTCTATTGTATCATACACATTAAGTATTGCACAGAGTCAAGTTAAAAGAGTATTTTCTACAAAATGTAGTGGCTAAGCAATTTTATTTAAGCATGTTTTACGTTCTGCATCTCATTTGATATCTTGCATCTCATTAGGTATCTGTATAAATGTATACTACAACCTTTCTGTAATCAAATGTATATATGAAGTAATTTACATAAATATGCAAACGATCTTTGCTTACCGTAAAGCTTGCCTTGAACAGAGCACATCTTGAACGTCATCACATTYTGTGTTAGTGTACCCGTCTACAAACCGTTACAATGTTTCAATTAGTATAGAGCGTGACGTCATTATGGACAAACGACTTCTGGGTCCAAAACGAAAAGCAGTTCCTTAAAGATTTTTCTTACTTTTTCTTCGTGACAGGGTTTGTTCCACAAAGTTTTTTTAGAATAGCTTTAGGTGAAGGTTTAATCATTGAGAATATTTATTGCTGGACCCGGAAATATGTCAAAAACTGAAAACTCTTTGATAGAGGTTTTGCACCATCACGTGACGGCAGGCATGAGAAAGAATTCAATTCCCGARAGCAMAGGGATTMTATTGTTCTGCTATCTAACCACAGGCAGTCCAAGCTGTATTATGGGCACCGGCACGTGATGGTGCAAAATGTCTATAGGTTAATGATGATAACTCGACAATGCACCGTGCGGAAAAGCTGTTGTTGGGGTGGGACGATTTTGAAACATAATCACTGTCATCAACATGAATAACAACTGCATTCAACAACGTAATCATCATCATCATCATCATCGTCAACGTAATCATCATCATCATCATCATCATTAATCAAAAATAATACCACCAAACAAGAAAAAGGAACAACAACAACAGCAATTTCAACCACAAGTACCTTGTCAGAGAAGATATACTCAATTTGACCAAGTTCTTCGGTGAGAGTAGTAGTTCTAAGACAACCAAATCAAAATATGCATTACTAACCATGGCAATTTTACTGTGAAAGGTACCCGAGTCTTTCAAACAAAAAGAGCGGGAAACTTGACTTCCGGTCAGGGTACGCGCGTCTGCCCCGGCCACCAAGAATTCAAAAAGAGTGGGAACTTATAATTAAGWTGAACGTACCTTGCTCTTGCTGGAGAATCTTTCACGGGATAATACATCTCCTTGTCCCAGTTGATCCACAAGCTTTGTCCAACTCTTATRACCTCAACACTGTCAAATCACAAACGTTTGCAAACCACAATGAAGTACTTCATTGGTCAATACTGTAAGTTTATCACAATACTGAGATAAGAATCTTAAGCGGAAAAACAGTGCAGAAACACTTTCGACTTTTTTATGGATGCGAGAAAAAGCGATTTTTCTAGGGTTGTTTCACGCATATTGAGATGGATGAGTTTCTATTTAAGGTAGACAGGGATGCATCTTCAGTTTATTTTAATAATAATTTGATAATAAAACAAAGACTCATGGAGTAAATTATGTGCGACTTTGAAAAAAAAAAAAAACGGCAGACGGCACTCACACGGCACGACAAATCCGTACCACACGTGTTTCCCCGAGTAATATATAAAAGCTGCTCTATAGCAGGTTTCGTGTAGCTGCCGCAACCGTGAAGGTACTATGGAAAAACAATTTTAAAGATTTCAGTCTTACGAAATCAACTCTAAAAAATGGGCGTGGCACCTTCACGGCCACTGCACGTCGCATCACAACGACAACTTTTCTTAACGTCAAACGGAATCATTTGAAAAATACCAGCAAACAATCGTTCAGTAAGATCGTGATGGCACTGTATCGAGCATTTCCATTGGATAAGCAGTGATTTCGCGCTGTGATTGATCAAATAAAATCATCAATTTGGCCATGCCGTTACCAAGCCATACAAAAGCAACACGTTATACGTACACACCTGATGTACAGAGATATAGGGATGAGAGTGTTTAACACCATGACGAATGACGGCCAGTGTGTAATACCGATAAACACGACATTATCCATGTAAAAAGATGGCCAAGGGAGAAATACTTGAAAGTTCTATAAACAAAAAATTATGCACGCCTCAGTTCACCCTTGTAGGAATCAATGGCCCG